AGAAGAATTGATGCTTTTGAGTTATGGTGTTGGAGGAGAATATTGAAAGTGCCATGGGCTGTCAAAAGAACCAACAGATTTGTGTTGGAAGAAGTGCAGCTAGAGTGCTGCTTGGAGGCCAAGATGGCCAAACTTCATCTCTCATACTTTGAACATGTTGTCAGGAGGGACCTGTTGCTGGAAAAAGATATCATGTTTGGTGGGGTGGAGGGTCAGAAAAAAAAGAGGAAGACACCCAGCGAGGTGGATTGACAAAGTGGCAACACTGATGGGCTCAAGCATTTCAACAATTGTGAGGTTGGCCTATGACCGGACAGTGTTTTGTTCTGCTGTGTATAAGATTGCTATGAGTCATTACCTACTCAGTGGCACCTAACAACAACAACAATATAATTTTAAAAACATCATGACAGAAAACAATTAGGCAGGTTTGTATAGGCTATGCGAGACAGAGGTAAATAATGATGTACGCACAACTTTGGAACAACAGGGCTCTGGGATACAGGGATTGAGACATGGTTGAATGGGGAAAAAGGGGGAAATAATGTTAAGATGCTTGGCTGTCTTTTGAATCTTGATGTCCCTGGCATAGCATTATAAAATAGACACTTGAGGGGACAGAAAGGAATAGCTAGAAATATTACCACAGAATGCTTATAAGTCCGTCTTCTGCCTATAACTGATTGGAATACCTAAAATGGGGCTACAAGGTGCCCAGTGAAGGAGGCTTCCTGTGGAGCCTCTGCATTACATAATGGAATCCTGAACCTCACCCAGAATCTTCTGAGGTGGAAAATTTCCACTTAAAAGGACAAGCCGACCAGCCTGGAGCAACTAGAAGAACAGAAGATACTTCTTAAAAGAAACACTGACAGGAAAAATACAAAACAATAACGGCAGTGTGACTGATTAGTACAAGAACAAGGAAGGTGCTTGCCCAGGAGACATCAAGGCAAGTGGTCAGGTCCCCTCAGGGCAAACCTCCTTCTAAGACTAAGACTCAGTGGGAATACACGAGCAGACACGTGCACTGATTGCTGACCATATTTGTCACTGAAAAGGGGAAGTGAGGGAAAAACAGCAATGAAGCTGTGAGCTGAGCCCTACAGCGTTCAATAGACTCCTGTGAACCTGGGTGGAGACCTGGTTGGCCAGCAGTGGGGCAAGACCTAGGGACTCTTGGGTGCAGAGTCAGTGACATAGCCACAGAGGACTAGAGTGGAGAGTGAAGCATCCAGCTGAT